TCCATATACATGACCATCCATAATACACCTGTGTCAGCTCCATATACATGGCCTTCCATAATACACCTGCGTCACCTCCATATACATGGGGCCTTCTATAATCCACCTGCGTCACCTCCATATACATGGCCTTCCATAATCCACCTGCGTCAGCTCCATATACATGACCATCCATAATACACCTGTGTCAGCTCCATATACATGGCCTTCCATAATACACCTGCGTCACCTCCATATACATGGGGCCTTCTATAATCCACCTGCGTCACCTCCATATACATGGCCTTCCATAATCCACCTGCGTCAGCTCCATATATATGACCATCCATAATCCACCTGTGTCTGCTCCATGTACATGACCTTCCATAATCCACCTGCGTCACCTCCATGTACATGACCTTCCATAATCCACCTGCGTCACCTCCATATACATGACCTTCTATAATCCACCTGCGTCAGCTCCATGTACATGGCCTTCCATAAGATCGGCATGGGGCCTTCCATAATCCACCTGCATCACCTCCATATACATGGCCTTCCATAATCCACCTGTGTCAGCTCCATGTACATGGGGCCTTCCATAATCCACCTGCATCACCTCCATATACATGGCCTTCCATAATCCACCTGTGTCAGCTCCATGTACATGGGGCCTTCCATAATCCACCTGCATCACCTCCATATACATGACCTTCTGTAATCCACCTGCGTCACCTCCATGTACATGACCTTCCATAATTCACCTGCATCACCTCCATGTACATGGGGCCTTCCATAATCCACCTGCATCACCTCCATATACATGACCTTCTGTAATCCACCTGCGTCACCTCCATGTACATGACCTTCCATAATTCACCTGCATCACCTCCATGTACATGGGGCCTTCCATAATCCACCTGCATCACCTCCATATACATGACCATCCATAATCCACCTGCGTCAACTCCATGTACATGGCCTTCCATAATCCACCTGCGTCAGCTCCATGTACATGGGGCCTTCCATAATCCACCTGCATCACCTCCATATACATGACCATCCATAATCCACCTGCGTCAGCTCCATGTACATGGGGCCTTCCATAATCCACCTGCATCACCTCCATATACATGGCCTTCCATAATCCACCTGCGTCAGCTCCATGTACATGGCCTTCTATAATCCACCTGCATCAGCTCCATGTACATGGGGCCTTCCATAATACACCTGCGTCGCCTCCATATACACGGGCCTTCCATGACACACCTGCATTACTTCCTAGCATTTTGACTGCAGACATGATCCAGCTCATCTTATGAAGACAGAAACCGAGTCACACGAAATCTGCCACCCTGGGATACTGCCGACTTCCACATCCAGTTATTTATATTTTTTTTTGTCCATCTTTCTCTTCTTTTCCTCCAAAAGAGAAAGCAGCCTGCCTCTCAGTTTCCCCCCCCTGCTTTGGCCCAAGGTGATATTCAAAATATTTAACATCTTCTAAGGCAAGGGCACCAGCAGAGCAGAACGGATGCCTTAGGGCCCAGCGTGGTTCTGAAAAAGCCCCCGTGGTGCCAGGGTAAATCTCTTGGTGTGTACCTTTCTGCGTCTGCGGGTCTCAGGGAAGGGGCGGGGCAGAGGGAGTGGGGGAGCACTCCTCGAGGACCCCAGGCAGCAAGTCCACATGAATTTCAATATTTGATCAACTCGCACAGTCCTGCTGCCATAGTACCAGCCAAGCCCATGAATGCTGACACTCCATTCGGCATTCAACTTCAGCCACTCCTTCCTGTTCCCTCCCTCCCTCCTCTCCTCCTGCCTCCATCTCTCCTTTTTTTTTTTTTCATCCTCTCACCTTTTCCCTTTCTAATATGAAGATGAAAGAAAGAGGTGGATTTGTCCTAATAATTTGAGATCCCGTGCACTGGAGGAGGACATGCTGGGATTTGCGGGCGAACAAAAGGGAAAGTTAGACGAGACTGGAAATTACCGCATGCCTATTAAAAATCAGCCAGGCTGAAGTAGTCCAGACTAGCAGACAGGGCCCTTGCTCCCGCTCTGCTCCCGGGAAGTGGTACTTAAGGGAATTTGCAATTAAGAGAAGCTGGAGCCTTGCCACAGATTGCTTCTCTTGCCTTTTTTAAAAAAATTATTATTATTTCAAAAAGAATCACACAGCAAGGACCTAAATGGAAGATGACAATAATGTGAGGTGACAGATGCCAGTTTGGCAGGAAAAGCCAGGAAGACCAAGTCACTTACCTGTAGCACTCCTGCCACCGTCATGTGCTCAGCTCTCCATCTCTGTTTGGAAGACAGAGACTCGGTGTCTGTCCAGGGACAGCTGTCCAAATTCCTGAGAACCAGGCTCATTGTCAGGTGCCCCCAGCCCTGGGTAAACACAGCATCTGCCGCCAGGAGTCCCAGCCCCAGCAGGCATGCCTGCTCCAGGAATCCTGCCTACGACAGCTGTCCAGCGGGCTTGCGGCGTGGCCACTATCCACGCCAGCCTTGCCAGGACTTGGCCACCCAGGTTGCCAGGAGCCACATAAATCTTTGAAGTAGGTTCATTTCTGTTTTCAGGAGCAATTGACATGGGTCCTGGGAGAGGCGGGGAATAGCCAAGGGCTGGGGCCCTCAGGCAAGCAGGGGCCAGCGCTGTGGGTCAGCTGTCCTCCATGTGGATCTCTAAGCCTCATCTGGCATTTCTGGGGAGCTTTATAAAATGCAGATTCCTAAGATCCACCTTCAGGAGAGCCTGTGGGGTCTGTGGAGCAGAGTAAACTCTGGTCTGAGAACCGGGGTCCACGTGTTGCGTTTGGATTCTTTGTCTCCCAAGGGCTACCCCACTGCTGCCCCCACTGCCTCTGCGCCTCCTTCTCTGGGGTGCCATTTGACTAAAAGGGGTGATGGGACACCTTAAAGAGGCTTCTAGGGCTTTCCACCGTGGCATCTAGTTGAAACAGGTGTTGTTGGGAAAGAGGTGTGTGTATGCATGTGTGTATGTGTGTTGTGTGAATATGTATGTAGTAAGTGTAAGATGTGTGTGTACGTGTGTATAGTGTGTACATGTGGTATGGTGTGGGTATGGTGTGTGTATATCTGGTGTGTATGTGGTAGATGTGGCATGGTATGTGTGTAGTGTGTGCACATGTGCTGTGTGTGTGGTATGTGCAATGTAAGTGTGTGCATAGTGTGTGTAGGGTGTGGGTATGTGTACATGTGTTATGTATGTATGTGGCATGGGCAGTGAATGTGATGTGTCTTATTTAATGTACATAACAAGAAGATTTTATTAGCCCTATTAGTAGACAGTGTGTGGTGTGTGTTATGTACATGTGATATGTGTGCGTGTGCATGCACAGTATATGTGATGTGTGTATATAGGGTATGTTGTGTACACAGGGCATGTGTGTACACGGTATGTACATGTATGCATGCATGGCATATGTGCAATGTGTGTACATGCGACATGTGTATACTGTGCATACATGCATGCACGGTGTGTGTGCAGTGCATATGTGTGTACAGTGTGTGTTGTGTACAAATGGCATGTGTGTGTATGGTGTGTATATGTATGTGCGGTGTATGTGCAGTGCGTATGTGTGTACCGTGTGTGTTGTGCACACATGGCATATGTGTGCATGGTGTATATGCAGTGTGTGTGTGTATAGTGTGTATGTAGCCCAGGGAGGGACCTGACTGGCAAGGATTGCCAGTTCGAGGCACTGCTACAAGCTTGCCTCCCCACCTGCAGGGCACCCTGCCCTTCCTGATGTGCTTCTGTCACTTGTCAGCCCCGACGGGCCTCCAGGCAACGGCACCCCCACCTCCCCAGCAGGCCCAGCCTCCTCCCTGACATGGATGTTTAATATTTCCTTGTGGCCACGGCACTTCCTGTTCAGACTCACGGAGGTTCCCCTTCAATGGGTCGCTCTCTCTCCTCTGTCCCACCCCTCGTGTGACAGCTTGTGTATATCTCTGTCTCACAGGTGAGAATACAGGACCCAAAGGACAAGGGGCTTTCTCTAGGGGCATGACTGGTAAGACCAAGGCGTGGAAGCTTGGGCTCCATCCCTGAATTGAAATATCAAGTCCTTTCCAAAGCTGTGTGCAGGCATTTCTGCAGGAGGGCCCTGGCTTTCCCTGGGTCTGAAGAGGGCACCTACCCCTTAGTGACCCGAGGAAGACCCGTGTCCTCTTTCCAGAGGAGCCAGAATGAGAGGACCATTCAGCTCTGGCCTTGCTCACCAGAGAACAGGCTCTTCCCAGGATGAGTGACCCTAACAGTGTTTCCACACTGGGTCTATTGGGGCACACAGACACAGAGCACAGACGCGCACATACATGCACACACACAGCTAAGCTCGTTGGAGCCAGTTCCAGGCGCTAAGCGCTTTGTGTACGTTGTCTTATTTAATGTACATAGTGAGAAGATTTTATTAGCCCTATTAGTAGACAGAGTACAAGTTCAAAGAGGTTGAGTCATTTGCTCATCACCAAATGGCTGTCAAATGAGTGCAGATTCTAGACCTCTGGGTCTCACTTAACCACCTTGCCATACATAACAAATTTTTTTGACTGTCGAAGGAAAGAATTTTTTTCTTTCTCTTAGAAACAATATTTCATTTCATAGAAATACAATTATTTTCAGGCCAGAAGCTGGAAGCTTGTAACATAATTAAATTCAGCGATCCCATTCAACCAGGATTATTGTTGAAATACGCAACCAGGATGGTATCGAACACGACATGTCGTTAAGGTTTTGTCCCATAAACCTCTTCTCCCAGAGTGGATGTCACTGCCTTTACTAACCAGCAAACATCTGGCCTTCTTTGCAAGAAAAGAACTTCGATTTCTTTCCGGGGAATCACTCCTTTCCCTCCGTGGAGTGTGCATGTGTGTGGAGACAGAGCCACTGTTACCATAAAAGATGCCTTCATGGGGCCGGCAGGGTCCACATGGCCAACTGCGGTTAGAGTCCCAGACCTGGCAGGTTGCTTTCTCACTTCCCTTCTCTCTCTCATTCTGTCCCTCTCTGTTCAAATCTAAAAATAAACAAATAAATACAGTTAAATAAAATTCTTAAAATAAAAAAGATGTCTTCATGAGAATAGCACCTTACTCATAGAAAACACTCAATAAATATACATTAAATGAATCAATAAACAAAATAGATATGAATAAATAAACAAAATGAATAAATGGGACCAGCAGGTGGAGTGGAGGTTAAGACACTTGATCTCACAAGACCAACTGCATGGAAGTCCCAGACCGGTGGCTTGAGAATCACACTGGGCATGTGTGTACATGTGCCCAAAATCCCAAGAGGAGAATGAAGGAGAAGAGACCGTGGTGTGGCCATCCTCCTAGGAGGATGATTTCTCACTTTCCCTATCTCTCTCTGTCTCTCTCCAGTGAGCATATGTGTCTTATTGCAAAACTGAAATAAATACTAAATAACGGGACTAGCAGTTAGTGTAATGGTCACGTCGCTGGACTCCCATGTAGTCGACCACGGTTCGAGTCCCGGACCAGGTGGCTTAAACTCACGCTGGGCACGTGTGCATGCATATCCAAGATCCCGAGAGGAGAATGGAGAAGAATGGATTGCGGTGTGGCCATCCCCCCCAGGGGGGGGAGATTTTTCACTTTCTGTCTCTCTGTCTCTTTCCGATGAGTGCACGCGCCCTACAGCCAAAAAAACTCTCCAAAAAAACCCTAAATAAATAAAACAAATGATATGAATATACATGTAAATATGTACTCTTAAATAGATCCCATGTGTGTACCTGTATCTACCATATTTATCTGTATAGCTACATCTCTGTCTTTGTAAGTAAATTCTTGCCTAGAACCCTCCAGTGCTTCACCACTGTCACAGAGCAGATCTCAGTCCTGGCATCTGAGGGCTCTACTTTGCCCTGTAACTCCCACCACTCCAGCCACCCCCCACCTGCCCCTATTCAGCCTGAGCTTTATGGACACCCAATTCCTCACCTTTTCCAGGGAACTTTCGCTTACCCTGTAAGACTGGAGAGATTCCACCTGTCTGTAAAGCTCGGTTTTCCAAGAGAAGGTGAGTCACTTCCTTGTCTGTTCTCTCCCAGCATTTTGCACACACACCTATTAAGACATTTACTCCACTGTGGTAATTATTCGCGTATGGGTTAGTCTCCCCACAGCAGCCGGGGTTCTGAAAGGAAGGAGCCAGCTCCTCATCTTTGCGCGGAGGGGTGGTACCTGGTCCACACAGGTGTGATTTCTGCGTGGACAAAAGGCTGGAACACGGCGGGTGGCCGGAAGTGGGACTGTCCCCCTCCTGGGGCAGCTGGTTGGGGCTTGGGGGTGCTCTGGGCAGTTAGCCAGAAATGGCACCCTTGGCTTGTTTTCTCCCACCTCCCGAGGGGGACTAAAGGCACTAGTTCCTGAGCACTGCCTCAGGAGGGGGCCCGGCTGATTGGACAAACAAAGCCTCGAGAGTTAAACGTGGTGGGGAAAGTATGGCAGGCGCTCTCAACAGCAAATTAGGCATTTAAAGCCAAGTGCAGTGGCTTTCCGAGACTAAATGCATTATAGATTGGCTAAACCAGAGGCGAGCCCAAGAACAGGTAGACAGCTCACTGCTAGCCTACAGGCCGCGGGCGGGTGCACAATCAGGCCGGCATGAATGCAAGACACGCGGGCTTAATTTTCCATTTGCAATCAAGGCCATGTCCTCCTTTCTCGTCGTCCCAGAAACACCGGCCCTTCCTTGGGTTCTTTTCACAGGCCACGTTGCAGAGAGAAGGGAAAATTATCCGGAGATAATAGTGCTGATTATGGGATGGCAAGTGACCGGGAAGCACAAGAGGCCCTTACAGATGAGGAAGGAAGGGGCTGGAGGTGCGAAGAGCCCCAGGATGAGCTAGGCCCAGCTGGGGTCACTTCCGGCCTGCTCTGTCTTCCCAGATTGCAACCAAGGTGTCTCTCCTCTCAGCTGGGAGATGTGGGACATGGACAGAGAAGTGGCCAGATCAGGAGATACGTGTAGGCTTTTTGCAAAGTTCTTTCCTTCTATTTCATCCCCACTGTAATTTAATCCAAGAAAAATAATGAAGATTCCCAGAACGTAGAAAATTTAAAGAAGAAGGTGGCCCAGAGTACATGCTATTACAGGAGATGGGATTACGGGAGCCTGGTTCAGGGAGTCAGAGGACAGTGATTCTTGTCCCTGCACCTGCCACTGGCTCACCCAGCCTGAGCCTGAGTAAATCAGAGCCCCTCTGGACCCAGGTGTCTACACCTTAGATGCCGGAGCAGGACCAAGTGAGCCTGAGGGCTCCAGCTTCCTAGCCTGGAAGGGAGAAGGTTAAAATCCTTCTGCTCCTAAAAATATAGCAGAAGGGGACTGGGTGGTTCTCAATCTCTTCTGCAAAGAAGACAAAAGAAAATTAACTCAAGTTGCAGCTTGAGGGACTCAGATTAGACCTAAAAAAAGAATTATCACAGAGGGGAGTTGTTAAAACATGAAATTGGATACAACAGGAGGTTTCAAACCTCCTTTTCTCCAGAACTTGAAAGAATCACAGCGAGTATTAGTGCGAGATAGATTATGCACGTGCTTCCCAGAGGGCAGCTGGATCCCGCTGCGCTCCGAGCTTCCTCATCTGACTTAACTACATCTTCTGTTTAGCAAGTCCATTTTATGGGCCTGACACATGTCCAGGCTCTCTGGCTACGATGTTCTGTTTAACCCCTGACTCAGATCTAGCAGATGGGTGTCACGGCCCTAAAACAAGGATAGTGACATTGCCAAGGTCACCGCTATCTGTACAGAGGAGATGGATCTGGCTGGTTTTAAAAGCCACTCTCGTAGCGCCAGCAGATGGCATAACAGTTGCATTACTGGACGCCCACACAGCCAACCTCAGTTCGAGTCCCAGACTCAGTGGCATGAATATCATGCCAAGCATGTGCATGTATGCCCAAGATTTTGAGAGAATGGAGAAGGGATTGAAGTATGGCCATCCCCCTGGGGGATGATCTCTTACTTTCTCACTATTTCTCTCTCCCTTTACAGTGAGTGCACCTGCCTAAGGTGTACACCTCTTAACAACAAAAAAAAAAAAAGCCGTACTTGGGCAGGCCAGGTGGAGCGGTGGTAGAGGCAGCTGGAGACATGCCAGGAACACTTTCTCTCTTTCCTTGTCTCTAAGGTGAGTGCATGCACCCTACAGCAAAACTAAAGGAAAAAAATAAAAAGAGGCCACAAGCTGTCCAAGCACACTTCTCTCTCGCTAGACAGAGGTAGAGGAGAAGGCAGGGTGGGCTCTGAGGGCATTTGCACTCAGCCTTGCAGAGGTGGCTGCAGAGCCCTGGGCTGGGGCTATGGACGTGAAGAAGGGCCTCTTGGGACTCCCAGCAGGCAGGATGCACCCGGCCCTCAGGACTTCAGAGACCGCAGTGCTGACAGCAGCCACCTGTGATCAAATATTCCTTTTGCTCCTTTTACAGGCTTGGAGAATCGCTGCCACCAGGTCACATGCTTCCCGACAGCCACTGGTGCAAGCCATTAAGTCCTGGGAGAGAGAAGAAGGGCCATCGGCCCCTTGAAGGATGGGGGTGGCCCTGGAGCCCAACTCATGGAGAGCCCTGTGAGCTTAAATACCTCAGTAGCTGCGAAGACCCAGGCCCAAGCCCCGGCCACTCAACCTCTGACACAGAAGAAGCACTTCTAACCTCTTGAATTTTGCTGTTAGGAGGAAGCCTGACTGTCCCCTGCCTCCCTCAAGCCCCTAGTTCCCAGAGGAATGGGAGGCCGAGATGGCCCTGGGTGCTGAGCAGGAACCCCAGCCAAGCCCAGAGGCTCAGCTGTAGGTGAGCAAGGGGACAGATCTGTGTGGGATGCACCCACCCCCAGCTGCTGGCTTGGGCACACGTAGCCTCTTTTGTCCTCAGTCTCCTCGTCATGACTGGCAACAGTAACATCACCTACCTCAAAGGTGGATAGGAAGGTTCAATGAGCTAGTGCGTCTAAGGCGCCTGGAACTGTGCTTGCCTGCGGGGAAGCACTCGGTGTTCTTCAGGGCTGTTATCACTGCCCACACTACGCCACCCAAACCATGCTCTGAGAGGACGTGGAGGGAGCAGTATACACGCAGGAGCAGGAGGAAGACGGAGGGGAGGAAGACGGAGGGGAGGAAGACGGAGGGGAGGAAGACGGAGGAGGAGGAAGACGGAGGGGAGGAAGACGGAGGGGAGGAAGACGAAGGGGAGGAACATGGAGGGGAGGAACACGGAGGAGGAGGAACACGGAGGAGGAGGAACACGGAGGGGAGGAACACGGAGGGGAGGAACACGGAGGAGGAGGAACACGGAGGGGAGGAAGACGGAGGAGCCCTTCTTTTTCTTTTCTATATAACCCCTTATCAGAGGCCTGGCCTGGGCTCCTTCTGGGCTGTGAGATCCCAGCCTTACTTAGGCGAGGGCCTGCCTTCCTCTGAAGCACAGGCTGGGAATCCAGCTGGTCCTGGTATTAGCACTCCAAGTTTGCTGTCCCAGGAGCCTCCTTATTCCTGGGCTGATAGCTGGCCTCCCATCGCCACACTCAGCTCTGAGAAGAGCATGCACTGCCCTTGGAGCAGAGTGCACTTCCTCCTCCTCACCTCCTTCTCATCTCCTCCCCTTCTTCCCTTATGTTTATATTTTTATTTGTTTATTTAGCCTAGATTCTCTTCTTCCCCTCCCCCCTCTCACTGGCTGACACGGCAGCAGGGCACGCACCTGCAGAAGCAGCAGCCAGGGCAGGCCGTTAAGGGATGGGGTGGGAGGGAGCCTGTCAAATTACCAGGCAGGGGCTGGGGTCTGGGAGGGGGGTCGGCCCAAACAT